ATATTGGCAGAAAAGGTTAAAACCATCAATTTTCACAAAGTATATAAACATACAGTAATATGGTTAGAAGGAGCACGTAAAAACGTTTCAATATAACCACATGTAAGACTTTGATGCTTAAAATGTTTAGGGAGAAATGGAATACTGGTGTGTATTTTTTCTTTAAACTATTAAGACCATCCATATACAGTACAGTTTATATACAGTAATATGTTTATGTTCCTAAATTAATATCTTTTATGAGCACGTGAAAGGCATGGTGCATTGGAGAGTCTTAAAACTTACTTTGTATGATTGGAAACGGATACGTGATCGGATCAACGAAATGCTGTGGTGTTGCTTTTTGTCAATGAAAAAATAGTAAGTATTTTCATTTACAAAGACGGTTACAAAGAATGTGGACCAGGGTAATACTTTGAGTTTACAGCTTGTCTAAGGTCATTCATTATTAATACTATTAGTAACATCTTCAGTAAAGACTAATGCATAAAATATTTCTACATAATAAAAATATTTATGATAAAGGTGGTAGGTTGTGTACTTTTGTCCAATTGAGCAATCTTGCTTTCATAAAATATACCAATATTTTAATGTATAATGATTAACATTTTGTAATACACAGTTTAAACTTAAAAGTCTAAAGAGTATCCAACTTAAATTCTTAATTGAATAAAGATTGTCCCTCAGCGGTGATCGGGATTCGAAATCGAGTGTTTTCTGGTGACAGCTCAAATGCTGTATATGAGAGGTTAAACTTTATTAGCTCCACCTGCTGGTTTTACAAGGTGATTCCAGATACTATTAACAATCTAATTTGCATATGGTATGACGCAAAATTTCATTGCGACACGCCCACCACATTGTACTGCAGCATACCCTGCTCGTTTGAATGGCTGCATCTGAAAATGCTGAAGAGCAAGGGGCCCAGTATTGAGCCCTGAGGAACACCAGACTTAACAAGATCAATTTCAGACCTGTACCCATTAAGGGAGACAAAGTGACAGCGATCAGTTAGGTAAGATTTGAACCATTTGAGAGCAGTGTCGGAAACTCCAAACACTGTTTGTGGTTCTGTTGTTTGGAAGCAACAATACTGATAGGTCTACTATAACTTCAGCACTTAACTCAGAGGATTTAAAAATTTGCCTCAAAGAATCAGCACGTAACCTAGGCGTCATATTAGACACAAGGCTCTCAGTTAACTCTCATGTTAAAAGAATATCAAAAACATGCTTCCTAAATTTAAGAAATATTGCAAAACTAAGGCATTTTCTCTCCACTTAAGACACAGAGAACTTAATACATGCTCTGGTATACATCAGGTTAGACAACTGCAATGCCCTACTATCAGAGTCTTTCAACACCTTACAGCAAATTCAGAATGCAGAAGCTAAAATTGTTACTAGAAGCAGAAAGTATGACCATATATCCCCTATACTTAGCTCTCTTCATTGACTTCCTGTCAGGTACAGGGCAGACTTCAAAAACATTTTAATTACTTATAAGGCTTTCAGAGGTCAGGCACCTGTCTATCTAATGGAACTTATTAATGTATACAAGTCGCCCAATTAGATCACAGAATGCAGGTCTTCTTCATATTCCATGCATTAATAAAAAAACAGTTGGTAGTAAAGCCTTTAGTTACAGGGCCCCTAACTTATGGAACAGTCTCCCACCCCTTGTTCGGGATGCCGGGTCAATCTCAGTATTCAAATCCAGAATGAAAACCTATTACTTCAGCTTAGCCTACTCACACCTTACATCATTGGGTGTCTCTGTGTTGGCCCACCAGGTAGACACATCTGCTCTGACCAAACTATCCTATTCTCCTCCCCACATGTCCGGATGGCACCCGGGCTCGGCACCATCTGAGTTGGATGCTGCATCACTGCCATGGATCCAAGAGGGATATCATGGATGAAGCTATCGTTTAGGAGGATTTTGCTGAGATCTGCAAGAGTACTGACATACAGAAGACACGATGGATGTATTAATACCCTTATTTATGTATTCCTTTTTTAAATTGTATAATGTTAGCATGCCCAAAGGGGTTGGGCAGCCAGTTGACTTTGGACCCCTACGTTTTTTTTCTCCTTACTAAGGAGTTTTTGGTTTCTCTCCTTCATTGTCTCTGATCTTTTCTGTTCTGTATTCACAACATGTATGGTCAGTTGCTTTGTTAAGCGCCTTGGGGCAACCTTGTTGTGAAAGGCTGTATATAAAAATAAATTGAACTGAATTTATCTGAATATTCCCATCCATTGGTAAATTAATCTTTTCATTAAGAGATTTAACCCTCTGAGTAGGTATATGGAGCCTGAGGTTCAGATGTACATTCCAATTACCACCACATATTATTGTCCCTTTTGCATTAGCCTCATGTCAAGCATTTTTTATAGAAAAACAAAATCACTACCAGGGAGGCATATACATTAAGCAATGTTAATAATTTACTCTCCACTTTTCCTGACACTAACACAAATCTCCCCTACTTATCTTTTATTTCTGTAAGAATTTCAAACTGACCTTTTTGAGATATCAATATAGCCACCCCTCCCCCCATGACCAGATTTATATAAGGAGAACTATCTCTTTGAAAAATCCCTGTTCTTTAATTTCATTTTAAACAACTTGTCTCCTCTATAACTTCAGTTTACAGACAAATTCCCCCAGAGCCACATTGTCCATGCCCTTGTTGTGTCTAATTTCTAGGGAGTAACCCTATTACAAAAGGGAACAGCGCATTGGAGTTTCAGTGTTTGCTTTCCTGTAATCTGTATAGAACCGTGACATCCCATCAAGGTTTTGTACCAATAAACATAGGGAACTCCACGGACTTCCTTGTTTGAACTAAACCATGCTCCAGCTAGTAATGTACAGTATATCACCTTCTGCAACGCTTCTAGTTTAGCAGGATTTACCATTAAGCACATTTTTTAATGGGGGTGACAGTAGCCAAGTCTATATCACTGTAGTACACAGGTTTGAGTCGGACTGTCTGTTAATAAAACAGAGCACCCTCCAATAAATTTAACTACCGAATGCCTTCTTTTTCCATTTCAGCTAAATGAGGCAAATACTAAGTAAAATCAGTCAGGATCTTGGAGTTTAATAAGTGAGTGCTTTTGTCTAAAATATTTTGTGTAACAAGTAGTGCTGGGTGATAATTCGATAACGATAATTATCACAATATAATTTTCCTCGATATAATTTTAACAAAAGTTTGATAAATGTTCGGTCTGCAATACTGCGCATGTTGCAGACTGGGCAGCTAACGTAGTATTGTTTACCCACACGGTGATGGCTGACAGGATTGTAGTAGAAGTGGAGAAATGAGCGACACTGAAGCAAATAAAGTGCTGCCAATGACCAGCTCGAAGGACGATGACATCATCGACAGAAAAGGTCATCCAACTTCGGTAATTTGGAGATATTTTGGCTTTGTACGATCAGACATAAAACGGAGCACTTAAAACTTTGCAGTCTGTCTGAGCCATCTTCTATGTGTTTTATCACACTGCAGTATTTAATTTTTCTATTAAGATATTTATTTTGTAAATTTTACTCATGCATATTTTGACACAAAAAAGAATACTCTCTTGAATAATTTCTGCTGTTTGGCAAGTTTTTGTTGTGTTCTTAAAATAAAGAGTTGTTTAATTTACCAATTAACTGTCTGGTTTCTTCAACTTTCACTCAGGAGAAAAAATCTGCCTTTAAACTTGAAAGAAACAATGTCGTGACAATTATCGATATCGACTGATATGAAAATTTTTATCGTGATAATGTTTTTGGCCATATCACCCAGCCCTAGTAACAAGATTGTTGTGTACATTACTAAACAACAGAGTGAATCACTGGCTCACTTAAAGGTGTAACACGCCTATCTTCGCTCTTGTGGTTCGGTTTAAACATATTGATAAGCTGTTCTCCAGTTACTGGCAATTGTAAAAAATAACCCTTCTTCCCTCCTTTGTTTAACTTAAAGTATTCTGTGAAGAAATCCTTAATCACAAAACCATCACTTATAATAATTTATCCAGATACACACAGTCACGCCAGAGCCAATTTTGCCAGAAACAACCTCTCAGTAAGTCTTTGGACTACGCAGTAATGTACATTACAATATAAGGTTTAAAGTTCTGAATTTCAATTTAAACTGTTGGCTGATTACTGGTTGCTGAAATTTGAATTAAGACGAAATATAGATTTTCTCAATTCGGATGTTAACCTGAAAGAGGCACATCACGTTCACAACAAGCTATAATAGTGAACTAATTTGATATATTAGGCTATATAACAAACAAACTGAGTAATGTTCTGATGGGGCTTAGAACCGCCTGTGTAGAGCGCACTACATTACAGTACATAAGCGCTCCATTGTTCATGATCGCTATAAGGACAATAAAAGTTTTTTAAAAAAAAAAAACAAATGTCAAAATGTTTCCAAAACATCCACTTGATATTTTCAGCTGCTTAGCTTCATGATTCATGATGGTGGTATTAAATCAGTACACCTTTTCTTACTACATAGTCTGAAAAAGGATAAAACATTATAACTTTTTTATGAAGTACAGTATATAAACTTTATAATGTTAGAACAAGCATGTTAAACCTTTGATGCATAAAATATTTATTGTATACTATGGAATTTGTCACATATATTACTAAGCTTGACTGTTAACCTTTAAATTTGTATCTGTTCAATCAAGCTAAGCTAATCATAGCTTTATAAGCAAACATTCAGCAACAAAAACATTCTGCTAATTATGTTTGTATTTAACTGATCTGCACACAACAAATTGTATGGTACGTACAAAACAAAGTGCATTTACTTTTTTCAAGCAACTTTTCATCTCAAATATAAAATATCTGTTTTAAATATTCAAACTATACAGTTAAGTAGGTTAAATGAAGCTAAATATCACCATACAAATTTATTATTTTAATAATTTAAAAAACACTATTTCAGTTAGTAAAGTTAAATTAAATAAACTTACCTGTGACCTTCAAGTCCTATATTTCCAACAAAATCATACAGATGCCGATTTGGATTTTCACATTCCATGCGACCAGAGAGCCGTGTTAAACTGTCAATGTCTCTTATTTCTGTTGTGATCTGCAAGCCCTGCAACATGTTAATAGGGAAAGCTTATGAGAAACATTCATAGAAAAATTTGGCAGTTGGCACCATCGAAAGAAGTGTAAACAAAATGTTGAAAAAGGAAAGACAAATTAGGTATGCTTGCACAATTCCTATGTTTGCTTCCACAATGCTGTTTGCACTGCAAATATATGATTCTTACTAGAAACAAGACAGCTAAAACATAGTTGGTGTTAAATCAATAAGCTGTCCCATCAGCTAACACTATCATCGTGAATGTTTTTACTAATGTTTTTACTTGCAATGAACCAGGAATAACACTTGTAGATGCAGCCATTCACAATGGGTATCTCACCTTATTGCCACTGTGAGTTAGATACAGTATACTGCATTATGACTTGGCCTGCCAAATCATACTGCCCAATGGCCAAAAAAGATTGCAGTGCTCATTGAACCTTAACACCCTCAGTAATCTAAACACAACACCAACTGGAAACTGAAAATATCAATTTAATTAAAATGCTTTTGCATTCATTTAAATGCATCTTTACTTATTCATGGCACAATTTGTCTTAATGTTTTAAGTTACTTTATTAGACTTGATACTATCCAATCAAACATTTTAGTACAAATTAGAGCAAAAGAACTTCAGAGACTTAACTTAGTGGCTGCCCAACTCACTGAAGCTTTTCACACTCTTGTTTGAAACTACTGTACATCACTTTTTGTATTGGACATTTACTGTATGAGATATAAACTGAGAACAGATTTTTATTAAAATTAATCAGATATCGACAATGCATTATGTTGAATGAACTGGGTTTAAAAAGCCAGCAAAATGTCCTAATGTGGGGCACAGCACTAAAGCAACAAGTGGGTGGGAAGGAGAATACGTGTGACATACAGTATAAACGTACATGTCATTATTTTTATCAGAGCTTAAGTTATGCTTAATTAAATAGTATAATTTAACTTTACAGTATAAAAGTTTTACAGTATAGAGTATAAAAAATTACAGTATAAAATGTTTGAGTCTAACAAAGCCAAGATAGCTTCCTATTATGAATAAAGACGATTTCAGTTATGTATAAATAATTTAATGAAAAGAAAGAACAAACTGTCTTTTCATGTTTATTTCTATTTCCTTCTATCATTTAGATTGTATGATTAGTATTAAGCCAAATTATGAACTATTGGAATACTAATGGTGTTAGGAATTGAATCCAGGCTACCAAGTGAAAACTACAAAGTATTTAATTTTCTATTACACAGCAAAGTAGCATTATATATATACAAATATATACAAAAAACTTAAATTGCTGACATTATAATTGCTTACAGAGCACAGAAAAATGACCATCTTAGACTTATGAAACAAGCAACACAAAATGATTGTAAATGAAACCACACTGCTAAGTAAGCAATTAGTGGTTGTTTTTATACTTAGTGACCCTTACAAAAAAAGCTACAGTATACATCCTCATGAGTCAGGGACATTTTAAGAGCAGAGTTTACCAGTCAAGCTGTCCAATTAAGCAACTGCAATAATGATATGTTTTTGTCTACTTGTCAGTGTTGTGGGAATTTAAATCAGACTAAAATAGCATTTCTATGAATGTCACCAGAAGAAGATGTCAGATTTTCCTACACAGATTAATATGCATATTTCCTCCGTGCATTATATAGATCCAAAAGTCTTATTAGTATATTAGACACAATAAAGTAGAACATAAAATGATCAGGATGAAAAAATACTCACTTGTCGAATTTTAAGGTTTGTTTCTCCATCCAAGTTGGATGTTTCGATGTAGCACATTGCTTGAGGTTCACTGATTAAAAAAAAAAAGAAATTATCTATATCTATCCTGTGCAACTATAATGAAGTGGTTGTTAGGGACAAGTTCAATATTTCTTAATAATTTGAAAAAAATTATGATTACTGCTTCATCAATCATGAAAATCTCTCAACAATGATTTATATTTATATTCCAAGTCTCTAAAGATATTAAGGAAATAAGTATAATACTGTGATAATGTTTGTCAAAAATGTAAAAAGTTTTTAGCTTTATATCATTTTTGCCTAACAGAATTATTAATTAATCTAGAATGATACTAAGATCTTTAAAGAATGTTGATGAAACAAGAATTCAGAAAAGACCACTAAAACCACAGATAATCATAACCAGAAATGGAAGAAGAATCATATAACCAAAACAAATATAACATGTAGAGCTAATGCAATGAAGCATGTTGATACATTTTTGTTCATCATTCAATTATTCTGAAATCCTATTTGGTCATTTTAAATCAGAAATAGGAGAGGACAAAAATGATTATCTTGAACATCTATAATGATCTAACAGCACTATCTACAGTACATTTAAAATGTAATTTTTAGTTTCTAACAATAAAAAATATATACATAAACAATGAGTTTGTGCGTTATAGCAATAAAAGAAAACAGTCTGAGCAAGACATAGCATAAGGGGAAACAACTTGTTATCCCTTGAAAAATGTACTCAGGGATTGTAGTTCTTTAAAGAGTATGAGTATGAGCAAGAGGCAGCCCAGTTAATTAAAAGAGGAAGGCAAGAGGCAGAAAATGAAAATACTGTGTGACTAAATAAAACAGTAAAATAAAACAGCCTTTCTATAAAAGTAATGATTAGTAAAGTAGCATTAGCTTTAGTTTAGTGCAGTTAGGGCTTATACAAACAAGCAGTGTCACAACATGCAGTTTAACACAACATTGAGGAACACTACAGTCAGCAACAGCAGTTCATGCATGCAACATCCAGTAAGACAGTGGGTCCTCTATACAACTGTACAAAAACCCACATTTCACTATAGTTTATACACAAAAAACCTCAACCTCTTAAAGTGTTAAAATTTAAAAAACTAGAATTGCTATGTATTACAATGTATTTTGTGTAGTGCCTTATGGAAAATGTCTTTCAAATTTCAAAACTCAAACTATTTTGATATTCTAATTAATAACAATCATTTGTAGCTTAAACATTTTTCTTGATTTGATTTATAGGGTTTGTGTGTAAATAGACTTTATGTGCATTCAAGGCTTCAAATACATAAATCTACAATAAAAACGTTTGATTTCACAAAAATTTAAAGGTCACTGTCCATCACTTTAAAATGCCAAAATTATGACCAAAAAATGAGTGTAAGGGTTCAGGATGTGGGTGCAGGGATAATAACTTTTTTGACCCAGCTTCAGCTGCAGCTGGTGTTTGGGATTGCCATGGAATAAGCTATATAGTAACAAGTATAAGCGAAATCAACAACAAACCTGTTACTTTGAGTCGTTTCTATATTCACAGTATGCTATTGAGTAAACATGGAATGTTGAAAAGTGTTTTTTTTATTGCTATAGCCTTTACTTTCACCTCTGTTTATAATCAGCTGGAAACATAAAAATGCATTGCTACAGTAGATAAATGATTAGCTAAAAAGGGAGACCTATAATTATTTGCTTTATGTGTTTAATAGTCTTTCCATTACTGTTAAATAATGTATTACACAGGCCTAAAATTGTTCTGAATTGAATGTCATTTATGCAATTAATTTCCTAATGGCATTTAAAACATTCTATGATAGTACCTGAGGACCCACTGGTTTATTGTGTCCTAGGTGACCACTTATTTCTGACCTGGACGAAAGGATGACGAGATCAGCTGGGAGATGTTCCCCATTGGTCACTTTGACTATCTCCCCCACTGTCACCTAAGTTATATCCCAGCAAGTGAAGGATCAGAACACAACATGAAGGTGGGGTTTAAAAAAACAAGAGTTTGGAAAAGGGGAGAAGAAAGGGAGGGAGGGGAAGGAGTAAATGAACAACAAACAGAAGAAATGAAAACTTGATTACATAGGAAAAGAACATACAATGTTAAAGGCTTCTTTGCAGAGTTGTTTTTTTTTTCAACACCCATTTCAATCAGGTCATGCAAGCTTTAAACAAAATATTGGACTAATCGTACAGCACCTCGAGCAACTACAGCTTTACTAAAAACTAAAGAAGGTATAAAAGCAAAAGGTGCAGAGAAGCACCCAAAATCAGAAGAATAGTTCTAACAGGCAGAGTTATAAAAGCACAATTTACATATTTAGAAATTTACATATACTTTGTAGTTCAGAAACAAATCTTGGACGTAAATCCAGCTCAATAGCCAAGGTAACAATAATGTTATCTCACAGTTTTTGATACTTCCTAAATTAATTTTAAATGCTAACAAGCATGTATAATGCAAATAACGTATGACGTTTTGCAAAAGCATACAAATATTGTATTTTCAGATCAGAAAGCTGTCATCAGAAAACTAGCTACTCTATGGCAAGACCTGATCCTAAAATGGATTTTGAAAAGAGAAGGAAAACAAAAACATTATCAGAATTAATGAAGTAATGTTCTCTGCCAAGGGAATGACAATTCCATTAAGACAAAAAAAAGTGCATACATATTAAACAACACATATACCATATCTATTGAATGTATTTTTTTAAACTAGAAGAATATGACACATTTTGAATCTAGTATTTTGCTCAAATTAAATTTAAAGTCCCTTCTACATAGATGCAGTTGTTTTTGCCTCTTTAGTCATCAGTTCCTTGGAGCATTAACAGAAATAGTGCAGGTGTAGAGAAATGAAGCTCTACACTCTCACTGTAATAAGGTCCTTCTCTACCTTGATGACAGAAGTATTGTATCAGCAGGTATGAACTCTTTGCCATTTATGTTAACTATATCTCCAACTTCTACCTGAAAGAGACAAACTAGTTATTGGTTAACATTACATTCTAAAATAGGAAAAACTTTACAAAGTGTCCATTGCTGGGAAACAATTCTGCAATACTTTCAAGTTAATATTATAAACATACTTGAATGGCAGCAGAGTTATTATTTTATTTCTCCCTTCAATGTGTGCATGGTTTGCATTTTTGTTGACCTTACTGAATAGTTTAAAGATACCTTTAACGTTTTATCTTTTGGCATCAAGCAAGGTCATACAAAAATAATTATTTTCTGCATTGAACGAGTTACGAATTCATATGCATTATTCAGAGCCCATTGTGGTACTACACTGTGTACAATTACACAGCATCTGGAACTGCTGTATTTTAATTTTTTTTTCCACACTGTCAGTGTTTTGCACAAACAAAATTAACTGAATTACATAAACAGATTATTTGCTTCAGTTAGACCCATAAATGAAAAATATAATGTCTGAAAACTGTTACTCAGGTGTCATTGATTTGCAGTAGTTTAGAGCTCAGACACAGAGCCATATATTACAACCAAAACCCACTTACATACGTCCAAAATTACTCTACCAAGCATACTCCCAAAATATGAAGGTAGATATCACATACACCATGATTACATCTATGACAGAGAGAGCCGAGAGCTATTTTTGTATAGAACCACCACTATGGTATTGCCATATCACTCGCATTTTCTATACCATATAAAGTTACCTGGAAGGGTCTTAATTATAAACATGAGAACATCATCTAACGAGAAGAGACTAGACCCTTCCCACTGACAGTTGAAACAGTTAACTGCTGGTTGAGAGGTTAAAACAGAGCCCATTGCAAAACAGGAAAATCCAGGAGTGAGCGACCTCCATCAGATCCTCCACGAGGTCTTAAATAACCTAAAAGGAAAAGGCCGATAACAATATCCAGGCTTTGGACTGTTGTAAGGTTGTCAACTGAACTTCTGGCAGCTCACCCTTCCAAATGAAACTGCTTAGAATAAAGTGATTTTTTCTAGGTATTGACATATGAGTCATGGGGTACACATGGGGATCATGACAAACAAAAAGAAACAAGGAAGAATATTCATTTTTTAAAATAAATCCTAACATTTAGTTTAACCTATAGACCCTATTTACCACTTAATCAAGCCTACTTTAGTTTTATTCAGGACATCAAGCATCTCTTTATAAAGATACAAAATATCAGAGAAACTTTTAACATTACAGACTCCTCGGTAGGCAAATCCAGCTAAATGTATGTATTTGCTTTCCATGCTACACTTTTCATTACCAAAAACAACTATTTTAATAATTTCTCAAAATATTGCAAATGTGATTTCCAATGTCCTCTAAACACAACCATTAAGTTTGTTTTCACTGCTGTGAAACTACTTTGTAATAAACAAATTAATGCTGACAACAGCACTTGTTGGGGCAGAAACTGCACAATTATTGAATAACATATTTTTACCAACAAATTGAAAACACACCATGAACTATTTATCAAAAAACACAAGACAACCTGAGCTTTTCAAAATTGTGTTTCATAATTAAATACATCAGCTTAAACCAAATTAACCTTTTTTCATAGGAATATTTGTCTTGCATTTCAGAGAAGCACTAAATTATATTGATAATTTATCAGATATCCAGAAAAACTCAAAAGCAAAAATCCATAAAGAACGTAAAGAAAAAAAGTATTTTGCTTTTATTTCACTGTGGAAATTTGTAAGTTCATAAAAACAATTCAATCTACAACAAAGATAGAGCTGCTAAAGCTCCTCTATACGTTCAATAGAAATAGCTACAGAAAAAGCTCATCTAATACAGATGCAGCCATTCAAAATGCACGGTACATCCACGTACCATGCGAAATTACCCACAGTTCACTGCGTTGCACCACAGTATGTGATTAGGCTGGCCAAAATAACCGACAGGGGCACTTGTGGTGCATTGGTTGTTAGTGAAACAATTTAATCATTTAATCTCTTTACTGTGCATGTTTTAATCTTGCTTTAAGCTTTAAGCTTGTTGAGAACATGATGTGCCTCTTGCAGGTTTACATACGAATTAAGAAATCTATATTTTGTCTTAATTCAAATTTCAGCAACCAGTAATCTGCCAAAAATGTACATTTCAATTTAAAACATAAAAACTGTAATTGTACTGTACAGTACTGCGCAGTCCAAAGAACGTTTCTGACAGCATTGGCTCTGGTGTGAGTTTGTGTATTGGGATGAATTATTAAAAGTGATGTTTCATGATTAAGGATTTCTTCACAGAATTCTTTAAGTTAAACAAAGGAGGGAAGAAGGGTTATTTTTACAAATGCCAGTAACCAGAGAACAGCTTATCAATATGTTGAAACCATACCATGATATTGAAGAAGTGTTACACCTTAAAGTGAGCCAACGACAGATGTTTACTATGTTGTGATGATGTTGTGTGGCCTGGCAGGAGTTTTTCTGTAAACTTTCTGTAAACTTCAGTTAAACTGAAGAGTTATCAGCAGTTGATTTTATCAGCAGTTGATTCTCTTAAAAAAGAGCAGTGGCTCTGTGGCTAAGGATCTACGCCTGTGGAAGACTGCGGGTTCAAATCCCACGGCTGACAGAGGAATCCTACCCCGTTGGGCCCGTGACCAAGGCCCTTAACCCCAACTGCCCCAGGGGCGCTGTACAATGGCTGACCCTGCGCTCTAACCTCAAGTTTCCCTTCCTGTCTGTGTGTCTGTGTCTCATGGAGAGCAAGCTGGGGTATGCGAAAAGATGAATTCCTAATGCAAGAAATTGTATATGGCTAATAAAGTGATATTATTAGATCTTATCTTATTTTATGGTTATACATTGTGTATTGCCTCTTTTAATATATGTAAAAACATTCTAATTTAAATGCAATATGGAATATATTATTAATAATATGAATAATGAATGACCATGCACAAGCTGTAAACCGAAGAGTTATAGAGAAGACACAATGAGTCTTTTCAGCTGGGAATTAACCTTTAGAACGATCCTTTTGGCTCTATTTTGTACATAGCCAGATGTGTAAAAATAGTTTGTTAAAGTTTGTTGAGAACGCGATGTGCCAGGTCAGGTCTAAATCTGCTTTAAGAAAATCTATATTTTGTCTTAATACACATTTCAGCAATGAGAAATTTAACTTTAAATTTTTATTAAAAAAAGATTTCACACATACTGTACCACAGTGGCTATGAAACCATACGGGATTATACTGTATATACAAGTAGTCCACGACTTCCGACCACTCGCACTTAGGACGGCTGTCCCTTAATCGTATTACTGTACAGTACTGTATATTATTTTAGTGTCCCAGCATTTGGTTGTACAGTATAACATTGATTACATCATCAGCCTGCATGACAAAGTGCTGCCGCATGTTACTGTTTGGATGGTTAGCAAGCAAATGGCTAGCTAGCAAAAAAGTGTTCTGGTGGTGCCGTTAGGAAAAAATGAAAGAGAAAGACAAGAGATTTATAAATTAAAGGGAACATAATAGTGTAGCATTAAAATGGAAAATCGGTATCGACAATCGATACCAACAATATCCAACGACAAGGAAACAAGGAAAAAATTCATAAAGCAGTGAAAGGATCGCCGCCTATGAAAGCTACAAGGTCCTATTCACGAAATGGATAAATTATTAGTGACTTGGATGGAAGATCAGATCCAAAAGTGTATGCCTTTAAGCCTTCTAGCCATACAGGCTAAAGTAAAATTAGTGAAAAAATATAACATAGCAGTACTGAACAACATGCATATATTCGACATTAATTATTTACATGATCGAGATTTCCAACTTTGGAGGAAATCAATTTACGACAGGGTCGTCGGAACCTAACCCCATCGTAAATTGAGCAGTACCAGTACAGTGTATTTATACAGTATACAAACTCACTACCATTCATTGCCGTGTGCACTATTGTTTCAGTTCAGCAGGAGGTGAGACCCGGCAGGGGGGGGGGGGGGGGTATTTTTATTATACTTTGAATGAGTCCCTGAAGCATATTGTCCAAGTTTCAGAATTATAAAAAATAAATGTTTGATGAGTTTGCACGAGAGAAAAAGGTACATTGTGCAGTTCATGCAAAGTAAATGAATTTAACAAACAGCTAATATTGCTTAAAGAATTTAAAATCTATCTGACTGACATTGTGGCTCTCATGTAATTGAGCAGAAAGTCACCTTGCTCTTACAAATGCTCTGTTAAACTTTGCTCTGTTAACACCCTGCACCCTTTTGAATGGATTTGTATCACCTTTATCACCTTTGTCTGTCCGGGGCATAGGGATTGTATCCCTTTCTCAGTTTAACATCTGATTCTTCCCCAGTAATCTGAGAGACTAAAACCCTCTATCGATAAAAAATGAGTGGGGCATTTCATGGTATACCCCGGTGGGCGTGTTGCATCAAAACGCAGTATCACGCAGTATCACACGGTGTATCGCATCATTTGACGTCATACCGGAAAGTATCCGGAATCACCTTGTAAAAACTGCCAGGAGGAGCCAATAAAGCTTAACCTCTCATATCCAGCATTTGAATTTTTAAATTTAAACTGTGTATTACAGCATGTTAATGATCAGTCATAAAAAGTTGGTATATTTTATGAAAGCAAGATTGCTCAGTTGGGCAAAAGTACACAACCTATCTTTATCATAAATATTTTAATTATGCAAAAATATTTTATGCATCAAAGCCTTTACCGAAGATATTACTAATAGTATTAATAATGAATGACCTTGGACAAGCTGTAAACTCAAAGTATTACGCTGGTCCACATTATTTGTAACCGTCATTTTAAATGAAAATACTTTATTTTTTCATCGACAAAAAGTAACAACACAGCATTCCGTTGATCTAACTAACAAGGACGGGACATTAGCTAGCCAATATGATAAAGGAATAAATTACTTTTTTTGTTTATTTCTTTAGCACATTTATTTGAACATTTCCATCGATTGTACAAGCACTGAAAAACT